CGCGCTCCGGGGCTTTCACTCGGGTGCCTGTGCAATCCGGGACGGGGACGGAAGCGATCCGCGCGGGCCTCGGGGTGGCCGCAGCCTCCTGAAGCCGGGAAGGCAGTTTCAGCCTCATTCCCCTGGTGTTTTACTACCGTGCCTTGACATTTAAGCAACTTTGGGTGTGGGGGTGGAGGGGGTGTGCGTGCGTGTGTAATTCATTCTTTTCCGTTGGCATCTCGGGTTATTAATTGAGTTAAAGAGATGAGTCACTTGTGTTCCTGAAGTTCCCATGGAGTGGAAAGGACAGTTCCCTCAGTGGTTAGGCTTTAAGGCTCTCACGTATTTAGGAAGTTTTGTGCACCTGAGCAAACCCAGTATTGAATGGGCCCTGACAGAAGCGTGTGCTTTCTGAACAGTATTTGTGTTCCGTTGCGTTTCGAGACTAAGAATGATGGCAAGGCAGCAATAGGTAGTTATTAGACTCTTAGTTACTGTGTGATGGCGAGGGGCCATTTTGACAATAAACTGATAGGTTCCTGGGAGAGGTGAGTTAATCAATAGTCCGAAGGCCTTGGTAATTCTTGTGAGATCTTGAATAAGTGAAGTGACTTAACTTCCCGAGTTCCAGTGTTACCCTGTACAGACAGAATGAGGATAGTTTTCCTTCTGTATTTCACAAGGTTGCACTGAAATTAAGGTAAGGCCATGTAGCCCTACAATGTAAGACTTTTTTTTTTTTAAATTCCAGCTCAATTTAATACTGACATCTACATAAAGTTGAATAAAAGCAGTTATGTGGCCAAGCGGTGGTGGCAAGCCTGTAATCTGGGAGGCAGAGGCAGGAGGATCTCTCGAGTTCCAGGAAAGCCAGGGCTACACAGAGAAACCCTGTTAGCGAAGTGCGCTCTGTAGGGCAGCGATAGTTACGTGAAAACAACAAAAACTATTTTCTAATATAAAGTACATGCAAAGAGAAATGTGAAATTAAAACCTATCATTAAAAGCCTTAACAATTGCAGACAAGCCATTGCAAGAGATCTCATTGTTGTATGGGTCTTGTTTTTAGTGAGTGAGTCTTAACCTTTGCTATCCTTTTTTCAAAACAATGCACATGGAGAAATGTTGCCTGATCTAAAAATAGCATTAGGGCTATCAACCCAGTACAGGGCCTCTTGTGTGGCTTTATCATTTTCCAATTCTAACTTACTGAGTTCTGTGTGGGACCTGGACTTAAAAACAAAAATTTGTGAACCACCTGAGTAGATTAATGTAGTCTATACAGTGTTTAAATAGCACACACATTTAATTCCAGCACTTGGGTGGCAGAGACTGGTAGATCTCTACTAGGCTAACCTGGTTAAGGTAGTGAGTTCAAGGCCAGCCCATGGGCTGGGAATTGAACCTGGGGCCTATGGAAGAGCAACCAGTGCTCTTAATTATTGAGTCACCTCTCTGGCCCCAGAAAAAATAATTTTTTGGAGGAAGGAAAAAGAAGGGGGAAATGATGCAGTTATAAATTAATTAAAATATATATAAATGTTTAAGGTTTTGGAAAACTGTTCATAAAGTATAGGTGGCATTCTGTTATGAAGAATGTTGAATCGGTGTAGTTTGGAGAAATGTCAGACATTTGTTAGAACATCCAAGACTTATTTATGGTAGAAAGAATGTAGCCTCTGCTGGAGTCTGTAGGTATATTATAGACAGACGGTTCTGTCCTGCCTGGTCTCACAGCCATTTAGACCCAAATAAACACACTGAGGCTTATATTAATCATAAACTGGCTGATGGCTCAGGCTTCTTACTGGCTAGCTCTCTCTTAATTTGTGTATCTCCACATGGTCTTGGCTTACCAGTGATGCCCGGACCTCTTGTTCCCTGGGCAGCTCCGTGGTGTCTTGATGGCAGTTTACTCTCTGCTTTCCTCTTCCCAGCCTTCTAGACTGGTAGCCCTGCCTATTCTTCCTGCCTGGCTACATCCTGCCTGTCCATTGGCCAAAACTAGCTTTATTCATCAACTAATAAGAGAAACATTCACAGCCTACAGAAGGACATCCCTCGTCATCACTGTACTAGTATTGCTGCTTGGCCTGTCATCAAACATTCAGAGTGGCTTATGCAGTCTCTCCTCATTCCTGTTACTATCTCCTATGGCTGCTTTGTGCAATCTGTCACGGAGCCAGATGTAGCGGTTCACTCATTTCTCCACTGTAATTCTTCACTTTGTAAACAAACCACTCAAACCAACCCAGACAAGATCTTGCCTATAAAAGTCATTTCCCCCACAGTTGGATCATACTTATTTCAGTAATGAGACTCTTACTGCTTTTGGTGTTCTGATTCCAAGATTAGGTAGCTCTTCTCAGGCTAGCTGATTATCTTGCTATACTCATGGGCTGTGCTTATACTCTTAACTTACCCAGAATGTCACTTGCTCTCTGAAGTCACAGCTGTCCTTTCAGCCCCAGTAGAGCCCTTAGCAAGCCACTGTAACTTTTTCTAAAACATTTACATCAGTGTTGAGACTAAGGTTTTACCTTGCTATTGAGCATTGTTCTTTTCAGAGGTGCTTTTGTTTTTTTTGTCTCCCCCCCCTTCCCTAATACTGGCCAGCTTGTCTTTGGAACCAAACCAAACTACAAAGACACCTATTTATAACACCATAACTTTTTTTTTAATAACATTTTAATGACCTGCAGCTACCTTACTTGTTAGAAGACAGAAGGCAATGTCTTTAATCATAAGGAGAGGTATCATTTTCATGGCTGAATGCTCGTTTCCTTGTACTGTACTTTGTATGCAGCAAGTGGTCAACACTTTTGAGTGAGTGAGTAAATGTCTGGAAAGTCAGAAAGAGGCCCCTCTTCTGTGTAACTTTGTGCACAAAGCTTCTGGCTTTCATTTTCTTTTTTCAGAAATGGGGGCACTAGTTGTTTCTACCAAAAGATTTTGGTAGGTGAAATGAGTAGGTAAGGCACTGACCAGAGAGGTAAACTACATAAATAACGGCTTATTTTATTGTTAAAAATGCTGTATTTTATGTTTAAAAACAAATATTTTTATCTGAGTTGTTTCATTTTAAGTTCCTCCTTTAATGGAATAAGACCCATTATTAAAATTGATCTCTCAAAAGGGTGTGATGTTTGTCTTGATAGGTATCCCTTCTTACTGAATGAATAGTAGTTGTATGTGCCCTATTTTCTTCACCTGTGAGAGTTTTGTTTTTTGAGATGGGACTGAGGTTTACTCCTTTGGTGTTTTTCTGAAGTTCCTTGTGGTATCAGTGTGCTCCCAGTTCATCAAATGAAAGTTGAGGGAATGGGCCTGCGGTGGGATTCTACCCGCACATTATCTTTTAAAAGAGTGGGTAACACTGGACAAAGGTGTCTTTTAGTTGTTGTCATTTATTAATTATGGCGGAAGTTAAAATTTCAGTTTCTTAACTACTGTGATGTAACAGGTTCTATGTTGTCCATTGTCTTGCCCTGAGGTAGATGATTAGCTGAGGAGGAACTAAATGGAGCATTACTGTTTCTGGATTTCAGAATTTAAAAAGTCAGTGGCTGTAGCTAAGTGAGAGGAGGCTGAATTGTGCAGTCAGACCTGGCTTTTAGTCTTTGCTCCAGTATCCTTGGATAACTAACTCATCTTGTAACTTTTTCTTTTTTTTTTTTTTTTTTTGATTTCTCTAGACAGGGTTTCTCTGTGGCTTTGGAGACTGTCCTGGAGACAGTCTTGTAGACCAGGCTGGTCTTGAACTCAGAGAGATCTGCCTGCCTCTGCCTCCTGAGTGCTGGGATTGAAGGCGTGCGCCACCACTACCCGGCCTCATCTTGTAACTTTTAAGATTACTGATGATGGTACTATTCTTAGAGTGAGGAAGAAGGTGAGTAAGATCATATAAAATGCCTAGCCTAATGTTTGGTAAGTGATTTCAAGACTCTTATTACCATATTTATCATTTAGATTTATTTATCATGTGTGAGAGTGTTGTGTCTGCAGGCATGTGTGTGTACCATGTGTCTGGTATTCTTGGAGGTCAGAAGCAGCCATCAGATCCCCTGGAACTGGAGTTAAGGATGGCTGTGAGCCACCTTGTGGGTGCTGGGAACTGAACTCAGGTCCTCTGCAAGAACAAGTGCTCTTAACTGCTGAAGAATTGCTGTGGTCCCAACCTCATATATTGATAGAAGGTTTAAAAATATATTTGAGAATAAGTATTGTTTAATAACATTTGGGTGAATTATTATTGTTATTTTTTGAGACAAATTCTCATTATGTTGTCCAAGCTGGGTCCTCCCTAAGGACTTGTGGCAATCCTAGCTTAGCTTTTTTTATGCTGGGATTATAGGCATATGCAGCGCTATGCCCAACTTATATTTTGGACAAGTTATTGCAACCAGCCAACCAGTTCTTCCTGAGCATCGGTGACAGAATACTAACTCTTCAGTCCATAGATTACTAGATGTGCATGTCCATCACTAATGGGTCTCTGCTTCTGTCCCTGTCCACCAGTAATTCTGTCATTTGCAGCTCACATGTAGACAGCAGTGGGTGTTTCTCATCCAAAATGTCATGTGATTATTTTACAAAAATAGAAAGAATTGACCAACCAAAATGAATATATGATGGAAATTATAAATGGTAACATTGGACATAAAATTCAAACCAAATCCATAGCTGTAAAGGCATATTTGGGGCAAGTTAGATAGATGGTGCAGCATTGAGAGAGAGCATTTGCTCTTCCCACAGAGGACTAGAGTTCAGTTTCCAGAACTCATATGGGGGTGGCTTACAAATGTTCTCTGGTGGGCTTTGTTTACACTACTGCATGTGCCTGCAAAACACACACACACACACACACACACACACATCTTAGAAAAAAAGACATGCTGGTGACATGGGATTGTTAACATTGCAAGCTTTCTAAAAAGCCTAGCTATGTAGCCAGAGGAAACGAGGGTGGTGTGTATCCACTTTTTGACATGAGTGTTGGCAGTCTGTCATCTTAGGGGAAGTGGCACCAGTTCATGTTGTAAGTAAAGTACAAAGTGGGTTAGCCGCTAGGCGCTCAGCAGTAACTGTAGGATGGTTTCTTACCATTTGAGACAAGTATTACATGACTAACCACAATTTAAGTTATAAAGCCTAATAAAAATGCACAGAGCTGGGCAAAGGGAGAGATAAAGGAGGTCAGATAATGTTAAGGATGAGCCTGTTCTAGCAATAGTGCCCACCAGAAAGGCTTCAGACTGGGGAACAACCATACATACTTGAGCACGGGACAGTGTTGGTCTTCAGATATATACCCTTGTGCATGTGTGTGTAGTACCCACAGAGAACAGAAGAGGGCATTGGATCCCCTGGGTGCTAGGAACAGAACTTGGTGTCTGTTCAAGCTATCTCTCTTGGTCACACTCATAATGATTAACGAGGTCCTGAAGCACTATATAGAACTGGCTTTTAATACAGACAGTCCTTGCTTTGCTTTACATGTTAGGGTGGAACCATTAAAAAAAAAAAAGGGAGCTGATTCTATGCAAAATATTCTCTACAGCTAATAGGAAAACCTTTGTTTTGTTTGTTTGTTGTTTTTTGGTTAAAACATTGAAAACTCTTTAACTGTTGGTTACTGTATTAGTTTTCATCACTCTGGCCAACTTCCCGAGAGGAAACTCAGAGGAGTAATGGCTGTTTTGACTTACAGTTTAAGGAGGGAGATAAGTCCGAGGCTGTGAGGAATGCTGGTGGGCCAAGCATGAGGCAGCGGGCCCCATTGTGTCTGCTGTCAGGAAGCCGGCCAGAAGACACCAGATCTCAAGTTAGCTCCAGTGAGCCTCATGTTCCAGCTGGGCTCCTTCTTAAGGCTCTGCAGCTGTCCCAGATAATTCGACCAGCTAGGGAGTCCTGTTCAAGCACAGTGCAGGGTGGACTTGGGCAGGGCTGCCTTAGGATTGTTACCGAAGACACTACACGCTCAGGCGAATGCTGTACAGCTGAATTATAACTCTACCCTAGATCCCTTTCCAAACCGGTACTTGTGTTGATGGCCTTCCTTCCTCTCTTTCCTCCCTTCCTTCTGTTCCCTCCCTCCCCCCTCTGTCTTGTTTTTTTTTGGGGGGGCGGGGTTTCAAGATAGTGTTTCTCTGTAACAGCCTTAGCTGTCCTAGAACTAGCTCTGTAGACCTGGCTGGTCTTGAACTCAGAGATCTGCCTGCCTCTGCCTCCTGAGTGCACCACCACTGCCTGACTGATGCCATTTCTTAGGCTTTTCATAAATATCTTGCTGCAAACCCTTGTGGTTTAGTCTTTTTATTTATATTTTATTATTTGAGGTAGTCGTTCAGTGTGTAGTCCTGGCTGGCCTGGAACCTACCTGCAGGCCCTTGCCTCCAGAGGGGTGGGTTTAATGGCATGTGCCACCATGCCCGGCCAATAACTGTTTCTTTTGTGTAACAGTCCTTAAAAATGTTTGTGATTCTCCAAAGTGTTGAGTTCAGTTCAGGGCAGCTTCCCTGTTCTGTTAATTTAACTTTGGGACATTGAAGTTGGCTGAGGGGACTGACTGAATAGAGTGTATTAATCTATTCATAGACCTCCAGTCTACACAAATAAATAAAAAAGCTTTTAAAAAGTTATCAATGTTTTGTAACTTTTGTCTTTTGATTGTTGCATGATAGTCTCTGGAATGTCTGTTTCTATAGTTTGTTTAACTGCTTGCTTGGGGAAGGATAGCTTGGCTGGTTCCAGGTGTTGACTATTATGGATAAAGCTGCTGTAAATGTTCCTGTTCAGGAGTGAGGGTCTCTGGATGAAGGACCAAATACGCAGTTGCTGGGCCGTGTGGACATTCTTTTTTGGTTTCTTGAGACAGGGTTTCTCTGTATAGCTTTGGAGGCTATCTTGGCACTCGCTCTGGAGACCAGGCTGGCCTCGAACTCACAGAGATCCGCCTGCCTCTGCCTCCCGCTTGCTGGGATTGAAGGCGTGCGCCACCACCGCCCGGCCCGTGTGGACATTCTTGTTTAGCTTCCAGAGAAAATGCTGAACTGTTTTCACAGTGGTTACACCAATGGGAGTAATCAAGTTGGTTCACAGTCTTATAACATTTTGGGTTGTCCCTGGTTTGTCAATTTATTTGTTTAGTCATTTATTTATTCATTTAGCATTCAGAAATTATTATATCTCATAATTTTAGTTTCTATTTCCCTAGTGACAACTGATGTTGAGCATCATTTTGTGTGTTTATTTTCCACTTACCACCTTTAAAATGAACTGTCCGTAGTTTTTGCTTATTTTTTGACTCTACAGTATATATTTTTCACTTTTGAGAGTTCTATTTATAATCTAAGCACTAAACCTACATGTGTGACTTGCATTTATTTTCTCCCAGTTTTTTTATTTAAAAACAAAAAAAGACAGGGTCTCATATAGCCCAGGCTGACCTCAAACTCTCTCAGTAGCCCAGAATAGCCTTGAACTCTTGCTTCTGTCTTTATCACCGAGTCTTGGGATTACAGATGGGCACCACCACCCTGGATTATGCAGAGCTGGGGATGAACCCATGGTCTCATGCATGTTATGCATGTAAACAACCAGCTAAGCTACAACCCTAGCCTGTTTGTCTTTTCATCTCCTTCACCTACAGCAAACGGTTAACATTTTGACGTACTCCATTTTATTGATCTGTCTTTGTGAACTCATGTTTTTGGTATCAAGTCAAAGTAATCTTTGCCTGATCCTAGATTTTGAAGATTTTCTTTGGAGTCTGTCTGCCATTTTGAGTTAATTTTCATGTAGGATATTTTGCACCTTTTCTGTGGCTATTGGGTTGCTCTAGAGCCGTTTGTTGACTCACTATTCTGTTACACTCTGAGGTGAAAATGTTAACTTGTGCGCTAACTAATGTTGGCTTGCTTATCTCGGTTGGTAGTCCTGTCTTAGTCTGCAAATTTGAATCATTAGAAGTTTGAAGTCAGAACCAGCCTGGTGTCCAGTCTTTCCTTGGCTTATGTGTGAATGAAAAAGAAAAAAAAAATGTTTCTGATTAATGAAGGCCTGAAACTGATTTCCCTGTTTGCTCTTTTAGGAATGCTTTAAAGGAAGCTGGGCTACTCACAAGTTACTGCATAAGAAAGCAAGTAAGTGACATTGCTTGTCCTCATGCTTGCCCTTTGCCTTGGATGCAGCTTTGGTGCCAGGGTGAGGACTCCTCTTAGTTCTGAAACTGTAATTCTGACATCTGGGATTATTCTTGGGCAGTATGTAGTAAAATATGTCTAATTACGTCTGGTTAATCTTGTTCCATGGGTTTACTATGGGTAGATGGGTCTAGCTTCGATAGTACCTGACAGTGCCTTTTGGCACCCTCTCGTCTTTCCTAGGGTGTCTGCATATTGTAGGCTGAGGATACAGGGTCTGTTGGATTTTATTTGGCCAGATCGCTATTGTTCTGTAGCTGATAATGGTTTTAAGTCTCTGACCTCCCTGTTTCTACCTCCCAGGTGCTAGATTATAGGCAAGTGTCACCACACCCTGTTGATTCTGAGGTGTCTTGTATGACCCCACAGACTGTTAACTATTTCTTTGGCTCCTCATCCTGTAAATGTAGTTACTAGTGTGGTTGATTTGAGATGGCCTGCATGGCTCCCTGGGAATTGACAAGGACCTGCTGTGCATAAAGTATTGCCATCTGATGCAAACAGTTTTGGCGGGTAGTGTGGTAGTTCGTTAGTTGCTGTAAACTTTCTGTCTTAATGATTTTGGTACCTGTACTCATCTGCCTCTGTTTTCTAGGAGTTCCTTGGTCTAATGAAGTTTGTTAGATTGCTTTACCAAAGCATCTGATGTTAGCCAAATCATCTTTGAAGGAAAAAGAAATAAAATTTTAAAAAGATATATATATCTATATTTGTGGTGGTATAAAGTCATATCTGTGCTTAATGGGAA